TCAGCCCACCAGGGGGCGCAGCTGGCTGGCATGTGGTGCTGGGGATCGAACCGCGGTCCCTGTGCTTTGCCAAGCTTGTTTCAAGTAGGTGCTTTAGACCACTGAGCCATCTCTCCAGCCCTAATAAAATTATTTTAAACATACTGTTTATATCTGTATTGTTCCATTAATAATTTGGGTTATGATTGACTTAACTATATTTCTAAGACTTTTATTGCTGGATAAAATACCTAATATACAGGGTTTGATCAAAATATACAGTGAATATTTAAATTTTAATACAACCAGGCATGGTGGTGCATTGTAATCCCAACACTCAGGAGGCCGAGGCAGGAGGATTGCAGAGAGTTTGAGGCCAGCCTTGGCTACACCGTGAGGTCAAAGCCAGCTTGGACTACATAGTGAGACCCAGTCTTTAAGAACAAAAAAAAATTCATAATTATAACCAGGCATGGTGGTGCATGCCTGTAGTCCCAGCACTGGGGAGGCTGAGGCAGGAGGATTGCTGTGAATTCAATGCCAGCTCGGGCTACATAACAAAACCCTGCCTTAAAAAAATTATCATAGTAAAAGACAGATTACTATTAGTACTTTCAAAATACTACTCCCTCTGCTTCAAACACCCTTTACTCTGTCCTTGCCACTTTCTGAAGCAGTTCTAGAGGGTCTTCATGAAATGTGATCACAAATATAGTGACTGCTGCTGGGCGTCATCCAACAGAAAGGCGGGCTTTATAAACACCCCTGTGGGGCCGGCAAGATAGCTCAGTGGACTAGGCACCTGCTTAGGCAAGCAGCGCAGGGACCAGGGTTCGATCTCCAGCACCATGTGCCATGCTGGCCCTGTCCCGGACACACTGAGCCAGCCATGAGACCTGGCGTGGTGGCACACGCCTGTAATCCCAGCTCTGGGGAGGCGAAAAACAGGAGGATTACTGTGAGTCCGAGCTACGTAGTAAGATCCTGTACCAATATGAGAGAGAGAGAGAGAGAGAGAGAGAGAGAGAGAGAGAGAGAGAGA